TATATTATATTATATTATATGAGTAGCTCCTGTAGCCATCTTTATTCTAATGCTTGCATGTACTGAAGGAGTGTAGAGGAGGAGGCTGGGAGGAGGAGGAGGAGGAGGAGGAGGTGGTGGTGGTGGTGTTGGGGGGGGTTATCGGGAGAAAGGAGGAGAAGGACGCTGAAGGAAAACGCAGACCTCAGAGCAGCCCACCTCCTCTGCCTCCGCCTCAGAGTCCGCTCACAGATCTGACCGGGGATCAGCGCACTGGGCTCCCTCCGACACTACGAGTTACACCAACTGGGACCGAGACCAGAGGAAATCGTGTTCGTCGGTAGCCAGGTCCGCACGCCAAGACTCATCCACGGCAGAGCACGGCGAGGGATCGGACAAGACGGCACCGAGATCCAGGGGAAGACCGCTGGGAAGCCACGCAGGACTTAAAGAGGCACGTTTAGCGGCGAGCAGGAGAGCGCGGACCGGCTGGCCCCCGCAGGAGGAGTAGAATTACGCGAAGCTAATTTCCAACGTTTTCTATTCTTGGCAGCGACAGTGAGCTCCGCGAGCCACATTTATAAGGAGAGCTAGCGGAATGTAATGCTAGCAGGCTAGCTAATGTTAGCTAGCTAATTAGCTCGTCAGGCATCCGAGAGTCCGACGTGTGATCTTTATTAAAATAGGTCAGTGTTCGGCGTCGTTTGACTTTTTTTTGGGGGGGGGAGCAGAAGAAGAAGAAGCCGTACTGGATGTGCTTTGTGTCGGATCCTGGTCACAATGATGAGCCTCGCATAGCTAAGGCTAAGTTAGACAATAAACAGTGGACGCTTCACAGATATTGATGAGAATCGCCTCAATATTTTCCGCGTCTTGGGAAAATCCGTCGTGAGTGTCGAGCTGTGGAGGAGAAGGTAAAAAAAATAAAAAGAGAAGAAAAAAGAAACGAAGAAAGACTTTTGACTGGTGACTGTCTGCCGTCCAATGTTAATGTCGACCGACGTTGCATCTATAATGCTACCCGTTAGTCGGGGAATCATGGACCGGGAGAGGGACATTGATCCGGCGGCCGGACCCCTCGCCAACGCCGCCGGGGGTCCAGCGGTGGTCCGGGGGATGAAGCGTGGAGACCCGGAGCCGGACGCTCAGACAGCCGCTGCCCTCACTGACTTGGCCGGGGCGGAGTGCAAGAGACCGAGGATAGACGGGACCGGGAGCGTCGTTGGTGACATTGGACAGGTACGAACATAAACACAAAGGAGCTCACATCTGTGTGGTTCTGGTTCCATCTTAGCTCTCTGTCTGTCTGTCTGCCTATCACCTCCTGAGCATCAGTGGTGTGTTGTCAGGCTGCTCTCTCATCACCATCGTGCATCATTGCAACACACAGAAAACATTATTTCTGATCCTGTATGAAGTGTGACAGCAGTGGACCGGGCTGAGCTCTGGAGAGGGAGCAGGACCAGAGCAGACAAAGGTAATCTGATCCAGGCTCCATGGCTATGACAGGCAGCAGAGATCAGAGCCATTCATCAGGCCCGTCTCCCACAAACTAAACCATTTGCTTCGTCACATGTTCCCCCTGGTGTGTGTGTGTGTGTTTTATTTTATTATTTTATTTACATGGATGAAATTAGTCAGACTTGTGCTGATTGTTGGCAGTGAGTCACCACAGAATCCTGATGCCATTAATCGCCCCCCGTCCCTGCCTGCCTGCCTCCTTGATTGTCGCTAGGTGTTAAAAGAGAGGCAGACCAGGATTGGGGGAGGGGTCACCACAGTGAAAGACAAAGAACAGAGCTTTTTGCTGGAGGCTGAAGGAGCCAGGGGGCTCGGGGGGCCTCCTCGGCGCGGGTCTCCCCTGCTTTCATGACTCGGCTGCTGAGGCAGCAGAGCATCAGCAGCCGCTGCTGCCTCTCCGGACTAATCTGTGTGTATTACAGTAATCCAGAGGACTGATGAGCCACCTCTCTCTCTCTCTCTCTCTGGATCTATTGCTATTTATTCCTCTCCGGCTTCACAAACACCACGTCGTTGCTACACCTACACACTGTAAAGTTCCCCTAATCCAACAGTACGAGGGAAGAATTTTTCAGCTGACGTGTGGTGTTTCAGCTTCGACTAACAGTAGTGGAAGGGCAGGCGGACGCGGCTTGAGGTCATCCGCAGGTAATTGAATCCCGGGGAACTGTTAAACTACTTTAATTGGCTGTGCAGCTTGACCTGCCGCAAAGACAAATAGGTCCCACACAACGCCGCGGTGTTTGTAAGCTTCGCAGAGGATGGATGGTGCTGATGGTAAAGGTTATAGCCCGCCGGCAAAGATGACACGACAATGAAGCGTGGCACGGAGAGCATTCTGTGCTGCCCATCGGTTCTATTGATCGCCGGGCACCGGGGGGTCACGCTAATGGAATGGACTGGAGCAGAGAGATGAGTGAGTGGATGAATGGGAGATGAGAGGAAAATAATGTGCGAAGGGATACAGGAAGGAAAAAAAAAGAAAAGAAAAGAGGGTTGGATTGGAGAAGGGGAGCGAGCAGGACAAAGGAAAGGACAGAGCGGGGTTTAAATGGAAGGAGTGAGTGGGGAAAGTGGCTGGGATGGATGTGGCTGGGATTGATGGATGTGGGGGGAAATAAAGGATGGAGGCAAGGAGAGAGAGGACAGAGAGGAAATCAGAGCCATTAGCCTGCATCCACCAGGGATCATGATAAAGGATGAAGGGAAAGTGATGGATGGCAGGAACGACGTGATCAGTTGGAGGAGAGATAAGCAGCGGCGTCGGCTCTGAATGAAGATGAGCGCTACGGTGGCGGGTAAATAAAAACAGAAAATGACATTGTGGGGGGGGTTATGCTGGTGATTTTGAGCGTTCAGAGGATGCTGGCGTTAGCTCCCAGCAGTTAGGATGGGATTCCCACTGAGAGCCGGACCGCTGACCTTCCCGGCTGACTGTAAATCAGGACTGTAATAATAAATGAGAGTGCAGCCTCCTCCTCCTCTTTTGTTGCTCCCCCTTCACACCCCCCTCCCTCCTTCCCTCCTCGCCGTCCTCTGATTCGCCCCTCCCTCCTGCCTCCCCCCCAGGCATATTTCCAGATTGCTAATTGACTCCTGGTTCTTTCAGTGAGGCAAACATTCATCCCAAACCCTTCCCTTCCCCCCTCGCCGTCCTCCACTCACTCTGCTGTCCCACCTCTTCTCTGCCATTTTTGATTCCCATCACTCACATCTAGGTAATATCTCCCTTTTTTCTCCCCCCAGCTCCTTCATCTTTCTCTTTTTTTATTTCCCTGCTCTCTGCTGGTTCTGATGCTTCCCCTGGAGGCAGCGCCGTGGTCCACTCGGATGTAGTGGGAGTACAGTTTCTAACTCTCTCTCTCTCGCTTGCTCGCTGTTTCGGAGAGCCGATTTGTCCTATCGTTGGCAGTAAAGAGGCTTTGTGTCGCGCTAACGAGATCAAAGCTCATTTAGAAGAGGGCATTAACCAGAGTGATCGCTTTAATGGGTCAAAGCAAAGGGAGGTGGGAGGGGAGGGCATGAGGTGGGGGTTGATCTGAATGGACAGATCACTAACATGGGTTATTACCAATACTGAGCAATTTGTGTTTCACAGGAGCAGCGTTTAAGTGTCACTTGTTTCTGGTTGAGAAACTTTTGGTCTGCCCGGGAGCCTGATCAGTGATCTGGTCTGTCATGCTGGTAGCTAATGATAACGTATGTCCTGGTAGGGAGCTGACAGAACACAGGAACTAAAGAAGACTCTGTAGATTTTCCTCAGCACCGGAGATAAATTGCACCAGACATCTAACATCTATATTTTTTGCTGTTAAGTGGACATAATCCTGTTCTCTTGGACGTCTCGTATCAATCCTGTTACAGCACAACAAAGCGATCGTTTGACAATTAATACGATGAGATGAAAGTAGTTGGCACCATTTTTTTGACCATTGATTCATTTTTGTTGTAGTGAAAACAAATAAGAAAAAGAGTAAATTATGCTGCGTTGTGACCTCAGACGAACAGGTTAGGCTTTAATAACACCGTAGAAGAAGCAGGAAACACAACCATAGCTTCGTCCCTTTTCCTTCTTACTTCCTGTACAAACTACAGCTGCCCTTACAAAGTCATTTCTTGCCGTCCAGTCGACACATGCTACTTCATCATAATATCCTCCTCGTTGGCTTCGTGCTCTTGGCGCCTCCAGCTTATTTATGACATGTGCAAGGTAACATATGTCGGGTCAGAATGGCCAGAAAAGCATCTGGCTTGCATATTGTAGAAAAGCAGCTTCGCTGTACAAGGGCGTCCTGCTATTGTTGCTGCGTTTGACATACTGTGTGTGTGAACACACTAAATCTGGTCCTATGGACGGTGGAACGCTACACAGCTGTTTGCCAAATGCTAAAATACCTAAAAGAAGTGGAAACTAAACTTTTGGCCACAAGTCTTTGCAGTGTTTCGCAATCCGGAAAGTTGTGATTGTTGGTTTGTGTCGGCCGGTGTTTGCCGTGTTTCACCCCAGACGAGGGCAACAAAGGCCTCGACGTCAGGACTTATTGAACAAAGATGTTTTCATGTCCCAGAAGACGCACTACAAAAAAGTCCAAAAGCAGCTCAAGCGAATGCAAACATTTAGTCGTTCCTGCTGTTGCACGTACACGGAATACACGGAGGTTTATAAATGGTGCAGATTAGCTGGGTTTGGAAAACTAATCATTAATTCCAGAGGAGGAGTGTTACAGAGAGGCAGGACAAGTGCCGATCATGTCCTGATGTGTGTTAACATGTGCTGCCGAGGCTCACACACCGTCCTACCTCCTGCTAGGCCCTGTGCTGCTGTTTAATGATTGCTGCTGAACTTTGAGCCACAGCACGGCGGAGTCACCCTTGACTTTTGAACTGGCAACGATAAGCTAAAAATTCCCCAGACCGAGTTGCTCAACTCATATTTTCTCTCTCTCTCTCCTTGTCTCTGTTCGATCCAATGCTCTACTGGCACAGGTGCAACAGTGGTTTTGCCGAAGCTTTAAGAAGTAATGAGACCGAAGGAAGGAAAAAAAAGCAGCAGAAAGACACCATTCAATGATTCCCTCGCTTGTTTTCTGCCCTCCTGCTAAGCGATGCCGGCTCCTTAACATGACACTTGCATGTTAGCTCTCCCTTTATGGTCATCATGTCACTGCTGCCCCCCCCAACCCACATGCCTCCTCCCCAAGGCTGCCCCCAAACTGTCACATGTGCTCGCATCTCCGCCCACACGCACACACAGCCAAATGTCAATCCAGTGTTTCCCTTACATGGGGGTCATCCGTGATGCACCGGCCACAGTATTGTCACAGCTGTGTCAGTGTCATGAAAAAAAAAGGAAAATGCAGTCATGAAACATACCTGAATCTGTAATAAAAAATCTGTTAGGCCGTGTAGTTAAAAAAAATAAAACATATAGTGCATGTCCGTGGAGCTCTACAGGCTTTGTGTCGACGAGCTGACATAATTAGATTGGAGAGAACACAATAAAGCCGCCTGTGCAGCACATCGATGGAGGACGAAACACGTAGACGCTGTAAGTCTACACCGTATATTAAATCGAGTAGGTTTCACATCGCTGTTGCAGTAAAATATGTCCGATCCATTAAGATTATATGATTTAACGTCTACCTGTTGTGATGTCGAGCTTAATCAGTGCTTATTGCATGTCCAATCTTCTATATGTCATGTTTATTTTATGTTAAATATGATTTACTCCTTTGATTTCTAAAAAAATGCCTCCAGGCCGGGCTATAGGAGCAGAATACAAACACGGGAGCACAAACAAAGAGCGCATACAGATGTGTTTCTAAAATGAACCGTAGCCATGTATTATAAAGCCTCGATTATACTCCCTTGCGGATGCGGACAGCTGCAGACGCTATGGATGGCTAGCTGTTGCTGTACTATCTGTTCCACATCAGGTCGCATCTACGTGTTCCACGCATGCATCCTGCACACGTCTGCAGAGGAGGTCCACGTGAACTCTTGTGGACTTGGACAGAATTTATGTCATCCTTGCATACTTGTGGGAACGCTCGCCTAACAGGGAATTGTACTTTTTTAGCTGCGCTGCAAAGGCATTTAAGTGAGACGGTGATTCAGCAAAGGGCTTCGACCGTTTGACTCTTGAAGTGCTCGTCGTGCAGCATTGTGTATTCGAAGGTGGTGCATGTGATTCTAATTCGACACACTTCCTGTCAGAT